GACACAGAGGGGTTTATTAATCTCTATCTGCTCGGGGGGACCTCTCTTCATTTCCATTTGGCCCTTTTAACCAACGTTTTGCTTCTAATTTATGTGTAAAGACTATTTGGGCTGGTCATCTGGAGGAATAAAAATGATTCAACTCCCGGGATTTTATTTGATGTCTATTTTAAGTTTCACTGAATGGTCAATCATCTTTTCATTTTCATAATGCAATTTCCATTTGTTTTAAACAAAGTGGCATACAATCTAATTTACTTCTGTAGGGCAAAACTACTTTTCTTGACAAAGTGAAACGTTTGAACTACAGATTGATTCCTCTTTTAATAACTTAATGAGAAATGTGGGATCTGACTAGACGTTTATAATACAATAGACTTTTTCTGTCAGGCTATTTTTGAGGATTTTTAATTAATTAAAGCCGACAAGGAACCACCATCCTTAATTTTCTCCGTCTATCTTATCTGTAATACACCTCAGAATTGTTAAAAGTCTCTTCAAGCTTGGTAGCTCTGTGGTATTTGCAAAACCCACAACCTTTTAAATGAGTGTCCTTCACTAATGACTAACCATATTCCCAGGTTGCTACAGCTATTTGCAAAGCAAATCCTTGATGGTGGGTTAGAGACTGAAGGCCAGTCAAATGTGCGATAGCAGGTGTTCCAGGTTGTAGTCATGGTGGTTTGTTTTTGCCTCTCTGTTTGATTACTGTTTCTGTGTTCCACATGCTTGAACACTCTGCCGCACAGCAGCGCAGGCTATCTATCTTTTCGCACAACACGCACACACTCACCCACCAACAGAGACAAACACACACACAGTGAAACAAAGTACAGTCCAATTTTTTTCTACCACCAGCTGTTCACACCCATCAAAACTGGCTAATAAATACTGCACTGCGTCTAAAAAAAGGTGGACACACAATAGATTCTCTTTAACATTAATTCATTCAACCAACTGACATATAAATATGAACCTAACTGACACCCCAGATGGGACAAAATGTGGCTGCTTAAACATTGACATACACCCCAGGTCAGTAAATGGTTTACCTGGCCCCTGTGGCCCCACAGCAACAGTTTGAGAGGGGGCACTTTGTCTAGTTCTGACCTTCATTTATCAGGTTGTTCATTCACCCGGGACTCCACAGGGTCTAGCCTGGCAGCAGGGATGTGGGAACAGTTGATGATGGATTAACAGAGAAAGACACGAGGATTGGTTTAAAGCCAGGAGATGAACTCTCAGATTTGGTTCGTTATGCTTCCCTCCCAAAACCCTCGCTTCCTCTTCTGCCCACTTTCCCGCTGGCTGCTCATTCTCTTTAACTCATCCCTCAGGCCATCTGTTATTTTCTCAAATTGTATGTAACCTCTTATTTATGTGTATCAACATTTTATCAACATCCATAACCACATATCCTAACACATCCGTAGCCCTACTGTATAGAGAGGCGAAGTCCCTCCCTTTCCGGTTGAGCCCCATGGGACCTTATTTCGGGAAAAGTATGTATTGAAGTCAATGGAGAGAGAAAGATTATCTTTCGATCCCGTTTGAATTGTGCCACGAATTACACATATGATGTTTGTCAATTTAAAAGATAATTTTGCAAGTCAAAAAAATAAAAATGTGTCGTAAAGATGTGAAGTAACACTTTTTTTGTGTGAAACCGCTCAATGAACTACATCTCCCGTCTCGCACCACACACCAAGACGGCCGTCACGTTGGCACATTTCACCTCTTTCTTTCAGAATGAGGCGGAAAGTATTAAAAGAGGTGAAAATCACTACAAGTCTGGGCATGTTGAGAGCTGTACATACACAAAAGGGGAGTTAGTCGGTTCCGTAAGAGCCAGAATGCAGGTCTGGGATTTGTAGTCTTTCTAGTTGCGTATTTTTCATAGTCTTATATTTCAACAGTTTTACGACAAACTGTGACTTTACAAGGAAATTATTTTTTAAGATTGACAAACATCATATGTGTAATTCGTGGCACAATTCAAACGGGATCGAAAGATAATTTTTCTCTCCCCATTGACTTCAATGCATAACTTTTCCGAAATAAGGTCCCATGGGTCGGAAGTAGATGGGCGGGACTTACTGTGGTAATCTTTTTATTAGACTTTATTTCTGTGTTTCCTTTCTATTATCTGTCCAATTTCCCCCCCATCTTCACAAACAATGAATCAAGCTCCTCCTGCCAGATGCAAGTCATCTATCTCTTTCTTCACTCTTCTCTCGCTCATCTGCATGCTGGTCTCTGTTTACGCTCTCTGTCTCTTTCTCTTTTCATTAAATCTTTCTCTCTGTTTGTCTCTTCAGCGGCTGTGTGTGGAATATAAACTTCACAGAGAGAGGATGTCATGTGATATCGTGTTTCCCCTGTTTAGTGTGATCAATGTGTCTAACGTGCACATGCTGGTTCTACTGAGCCTGGCAACAGCTGATCAATACCCTTAGTATAGAAACTCATCACGAGCCGCATCACTCTCAGTACGTATGTGCTTGCAGATCAATAATAATGATCGCACTTCATTTATATCTACAGCCCATTCACAAAAAATACTGGAAACAGTAAAAAACTCAATAAGTCTGCTTTTATGTGTAGATGACAGCTAGAGTTCCCTAGAAGTTCCTCTCTTTTTATCAATTTTGATAATCTAAAAACCTTAATTTAATAACAATTTGTTCACTACTTAAATCAATGGGAATCTTCAGATTTGAGTGTGGTCTTACACAACATCAATTACATCAATAACAATCACGTCAATAACAACATAATAAGATTGAAACATCCAATCACAATAGAAAAATCATCTCTCGTCAGTGTTTGGAGCATCTTTTGTCAAAGCATAATAATGAACACATGTAAAATCACAGATACATAACAGCAAAAACATTTTTTAAACTAATATGTTTTAACATTGAATCATTAGTTAATCTCACTTATCAAACTATAAAATCAAAACCAGCTTGCAGTTTAAAGATTTACTTCAAGGCAATCACTAGTTAAAAGCATTTACAAATCAGGATCATAAGAGATCCAGCTGAAGTATAAGAAATTCACACTGGTGATCTAATCAATCTGTAATCTGCAAAATTGCAGTGTCTTCAATTTAGGATTATATTACATTATATTTAGCTTCATTAAATATTAAATCAAAAGACTATGGCATGATAACATAATTACATTACTTAAACTATCAATCCTTATGTCTTTTCAAAATCTGAAGGGAAAAGTTAAACAATTCTCAAAATGTTTAACAATCTGAAAAGGAAAGAGGCAAATATTCAAAGACTTTTGTAAAAACCTGGAAAGGAAGGATTAATTATTCCTACAACTTTAATTCATACATTTGTAAATGCTACCACTGATCTGTACCAAATTAACTCAATTAATTATTCTTATTAGCCATATTACTGAAAATCTACTTCTACTACTTCTACTTCTTTCAATTATACTTCTCTAATTTGAGGATCAAATATGCTACACAATTGTAATATGATTTATTTAAAAATTAATCCAGTACTTGAAACATCATTTTAGGTCTGTCTGTGCATGGATAATACATTAAAGAGTAGTGTTGTTAAGCCTGATTGCTAGACGATTAAGGATATTAACATTATCTGTGATAATAGTAGAAATACCTTATTATTCAATACCTTGTATTCTGAAAATATTAATTAATTAATTTTCTTAGTGCGAAAGTGTAATCTGATCTGACAAAAATATATTAATCACCACTATTTAACACATGTCTGGTCATTGGAAATATAAAAAAACTATCATTAATTGTACATCTGTAAACATCTGGTTATTCAATTCAAAGTTCGTCTTTGTACGAGAGCTGGAAGAACATGTCCGTCAGTCTTCCTGACTCGTTCTCCTCCTCCCTTTACTGTATGACACCGTTCTGAGTGTGTGGTGAGTAAAGGCATCCTGTAGATTAGCACTGAAATGCTGATTGACTCAAACTCTTCTTCACCAGAGTGCCATATTTCAACCCCCCAATTGCTCTGCTTTTGTGTGGCCCATTCAATGAGCACTGTAGTTAATCCCCCCAGTGAAACGGAGGCTCATCTGCCTGTATTCCTTCTGCTATCAATGTTGAGAGCAGAGCAACTGCGTATTCCTAGTGGCGCATCCAGGTGTCCCCCCCGTGATGGGAGAGGTTAGGAAGACATCAAAACGGCTCCAAGAAACATGGAACCTTGTATTATAGAGGCCTCTGAAGCCCTCGCTCGTCCTGCAGGGTTGTTTGCTTTAGCCCCCCGAGTAGAAAGATGAAGAGAAGAACCCCCTCTTATCAGAAAGGTGAAGAGAAGCATCCCATCTTATCAGAAAGTTGAAGAGAAGAATCCTCTCTCAGCAGAAAGGTGAAGAGAAGAGTCCCCTCTCATCAGAAAGTTGAAGAGTAGAATCCTCTCATCTCGAACAACCTCGTGCTTCCTTGCACGTGGCTGGGGGGTGCTCTCTGCAGCCGGAGAGTGTGACCCTTTCTCTCTGACCCTTGGCCTTGAGAGCTGTCAGTTATCGGCACAACACCTGATAGGGATGTTTTTCTGAGAGATGACAACTCAAAGTAATGGATTAGCACATTATCATTTAATTACAAAAATAGGATAGGCCCCTCAGATTGCTTTGGGAGCCTTCCTGACACATGCACATTATCATTTTGAAGGTTTGTGTTAGTCATTTAACATGCAAGAATCATATACTCATCAGTCCATAGCAGAGAAATGTTATTCTAAGTTAAAGGTGAGCTTGTCCCTGTGGATATAACCCCTTCCCAATGATTCTAAATGTATATTAATTCACGATTTACCGTTTGATAAAATATTAGTTTATCAGAAATACATTTTCTCTTTCATAAAACATAGGTTTGAGAAATAAATTACCCAATAATAAATTACTCAATATAATTGATTCTTCCCTCCCTTTTCTTACACTCAAAAAACTAAATCATTGGCTTTGTAGATATCACAATAATAAAAAGCTATATTACCTTAATAAAATCTCTAAATATCACCAAAGTAATTGTTTGAGTCGGACATACCAAAATAAATGCTTACAAATCCAACAGTTAATTTTGTCTTAAATTATTACTATCATTTAAGTTGATGACACGAAAATAAATGAGTATTTGACTAACAAATTATATTTTTAAGATATCCTTAATATCTTTGGCAAATTTCAGTCAAAATATTTGAGAATTGGCTAATTATACTGATCAGTTTCAGGAACAGCAATTATTACTCATTCCAAATCAATATTCTTCATCTTTAACAACAATTTAAGAAATTGAGTAAATTACACTAAAACGTCATGAGTGGACCCCATTAACAATCGCGCGCAAATGCAGTGTGCTCATGGGAAATCTACTTTTCTATCTGCGCCACATGTGGCAACCGCAACAAGCAAGGAAACACCACGACGAGAACCACCAGGAAAACTCCCTGCAAATCCTGGTAAGTAGCCAGCTAGCAAAAGTTAATGAAATATTGACCCTGACTTTGTGCATATACAACTTTATGGTGTGTAATTATCTAAATACTGTCACACTTGCAGCCATGCTGTCATAGGTCTAGCTAGTTCTCTGTCCGCTTCTACACACGCATGGTGGACACAGTCAACCAGGTGAAGTGAAGCTAACGTTTTACTCAAGTAAAAAGTAGAAACATTAGCACCTGCTTTGTCCGCAGTTGTTGTCTTAAGTACCTAATCAACCAGCTGTCTGTATGTAGCATAGTTAGCTGTTTGTTTTAAGCCCCTTTTACACTGTTATTCAGAAATGCTGTAGTAAAGAAGATCCGCCATTACGTCGACTTTTTAATACTTAACCAGACAATGCCAGCATAATGCTGCCCCAGTGTGTGATATTAGACAGCATGCCGGCCTGACGTGTAACACAACAGCGCCGGCGAATATGTGTGTCTGCATGTCCCGCCATGCCGGAATAACGGAGCAACAGTCTCGCCTTGAACAGGCTGTGAAGGGGGCTTTGCCGCCACACCCGGTTACTAAGCAACGCTTATCGTTTAGGTATCCCTGATAAGGAGGCAGTCATATCATTAACTAAAACTAGCTAGATCTGATCGATATGGACATAAACACGAGTGAAGTATAATCGGGAGAGTGATCAGGTTCTGCAAACTGAGACACGCAGCTCTGCATGATCACCTGCAGCTCTGCCGCTGTGAGGGGACCGGTGAGCAGAGCACACGCTTCAAGTTAGACCTAACACATTTAGCAATCTTATCTACCTCTGGAAGTAACCGAACTAGTTATAAATATGTTTATTCTTTACTTTTGGGTCACTCATTACTGGATTAGCGAGCTGCATGAGACTAAACTGACGGGCTGTCAGGAGAGGGAGAGAAGAAAAGAGAGCACCCTGTTTATTTCTCCCATGTCATTATCCAAAGTTACTGTACATTTTTGAATAATGTAGTTAATCTACTATTAGTTGTTTGTGTAAATGTATTACTTATATTGTTGATTTTTGTAGAAGCGCCGATAAAAGTATGGATAATACAAAGATAAATGCACCTTGTTTGTGTAAGGTGGCTATTAGTTTATTTGGGTGATTACTGTATCGTGCGAGTGATTTCAGATAACGTCTGCCTACTGCATCCGCGGCCCAGCAGCTGTTACTAGTCTTGCCTATATGCTTATGAAACTGTTTCATCTTTATTATAATAAGGCATTGCATTTTCTTAAGAGGAGTGGCCTACCTGCCCAACTTATGTGTTGTCATATTTATGAGGGAACACTTGATGATGGCTAGAGCAAGTAAAGTTGAATTATTTTGTGAAGCATGTTAAATATTTTCAATATTTGTTTCACAGCACCGACTGCGCTAACGGAGAGAAGTTGAACGAAGATAACAAAACAGAGGAGGTACATTTTATTATTTTATTAAACACTGAAACAACGGTGCCAACATATTAGTTTGCTTTATACAAGTTTAAGAAATCGGTGAATAAGCTAAATGAGTTGCACCTTGATTTCGACCATGTTTGAGTGCAAAGGCCAGGAAGCACTTGTTAGAAACATAAACAGTGACTATATACAAATATCTAGGACTTGATAATACAAACTGTTACTAATTATTATTATATACTACTCCTGCAATTGAGGATCCTGGCTCTGAACACTGCAACTGCAATCGTTTTTATTGACTGTTTTCCAAATGTTTGTGCAATTACGGTAGATGTTCCATTAACTATAGTTTGGAGTAGATGTAATTATTAGCATCAATGAGTAAATATAATTGGGTGTCATTTTTAAAGCTCTGTATGATAAAACATATTAGTCCAAAAAGTATGTAGGTAAATGGAAGTAGCATTAAACCAGTCTGTTCGCTCCATGTGATAACACTATTTATCCTCACTTTTTTAGGTTGCAGCTTATGGGATGGCAATGTAAGCTCTGCACATGTGTGGCTTCAGCGAAAGGGTCACTTCTCAAGCACTATCGATTGAAGCACGGTACCTTTGGAATCTGGGAGAAGATGCGAGTGCCTTGATCAAGGACTTTGAGGTTAGTACTATGGCTGAAATGATTCCTCAAGTAACTCGATTACTAAAAATTATCGGGCAGTGGGACAGACATACACGCACTCAGTCAAGCAGACAGACAGCGTGGCACAGAGGTAAGACCGAGGCCGATACAGATGTGCAGTGATCAGTTACAATTATAGTACCCTTATATGTGTAGCCCAGAAGACGTATACCTTTTTTTTTTGAGTTCTTTGAAATAAAAAAACAATAATTATTAGTTTTTGCATTTCAGAAAATGGGTTCTTTAAAAGTTAATGCACTAAATGGGTCTAGTTTTGACATATTATTGTATGCAATTTAAACAATAACAATGTGGATTTTTGTTGTTGTTCATTTTGAGAGGCCGGTCTTATTTTCTCTTTTCTATTTACTATTGCTCTTTTAATAAAGCAAAATAATGTATTATCCGATTAATGAATTCATCGTTAGAATACTCTATAGCTGCAGCCCTAGTTAGTACAATAGTTTTCAGGATTTTTAACAGTGTTAGTTTTGAAGTTTTAAATAATGTAATCATGGATGACTGTGATGACCATGAACATACATAGTGAGTGAGCAGTGAGGAATTGCTCTTTGTGTGTCTTGTAACATGCAGGCTGAAAGTAAGCACTAACCAGTTATCTTTTCAATGTCTGCAGGATGCTGCTGATGCACCTGTCAGTGTACAAGAGGAGTTGGCAGAGGAGGTGATGAAGATGTACCTGCTGCAGAACCAAGATGGGTCAGTCGATGAACCTACTGATGTAGGGATTGTGATTGAGGGCATCCCTGTCCTCAGAAGTCTTGGGAATCTTAGCAGAGCCGGCTGCTATCTGTTGGGACTAACCTATGCCTTGGATCTGAGATACCCCAAGAATCTCAAATATAGTTTTGAGGTATTCCAAAAACTACTGTTGGAGCTGGATCCTGGCAACCTTTCAACCAAGGTTCAGAGACTGAAAAATTGCCTGCATATGTAGTTGCCGACTACTGTTCAGCAAGATGCTAAAAGGTACGAGTTGAGAGTTCCATTGATTGAATTGCATTTTGGACTGGTATTGTTGTAAAGTGTCACTGTTCTTGGTGCATTTCAGTCATATGCAGAGTTCAGTTCAGCCCGTTGCTCCCATAGCTCAATGGAAATGTTCACATGCTCATTGGCAAAAATATACCTGGTTGAAAGTTAAGCTAGATAAAATGCCTAAAAGTTTTATTGCTAAATAATCAAATTTGAGATTTCCATTGATGCTAAGATTTCTCTGCTGCAATTGGTCTTGTTGCATTTTACCCGTGTTTAAAAGGACCGCTTAGTTATATGCAGAGCTCAATTCAGCTCATCGTTTTTATAGCTTGGCCATTGTTACCAGGGCTCTCCCTTCTTAGTCGATTAGTTGACTTTATTTGTGGTTTTGGTCGATGAAGATTTCTTTAGTCAATTAGTAATATTTTAATGTATTTTTTTTCATGGTGAATGACTTATTTGTAAGAAACGTATATCTATGAGTGGCCGTTAGGGACATTATTCAGAAATACCATTCACATACATGTGAAGCACTCTCACACACACAACTGAAACCAAAATCATTTACAAACATATGTAAAAATCTCTCGTATACACATGTGAAACGCTCTCACACACATATGAAACAATCTCTTATACACAAATGAAACGCTATCATATACACATGAAATGCGATTTCAGTATGTTGTGTGAGAGGGATTTCAGTTGAAACGGAAGGCATCTCAGTTGATAAAGGAAGTCGATTTCAGAAAAGCAAACACAATATTATGTCCGTTTGCGATTGTTCCATCATGTCTGCTCAGCAGCATGCACAAAGCTTAACTGAGGCAGCAGCGTTGTTAAATAATATCCTGGCCTCAGCGGGGTGCACAGTCTCTCCTAAGGGGAGCTGTAGTGGGCCGTTGCCTGCCGCGGGACGGGAAGAGGGACGATACATGGTGTTGAGGCCAGGATATTATTTAACAACGCTGCTGCCTCAGCTTTGTGCATGCTGCTGAGCAGACATGATGGAACAATCGCAAACGGACATAATATTGTGTTCGCTTTTTTTAAATTTGCGCTTCTTCGCTGTTTTTTTTAAACGACTTCCATTTCAACTGAAATCCCTCTCACACAACATATCGAAATCGCATTTCATGTGTATATGATAGCGTTTAATTTGTGTATAAGAGATTGTTTGTGTGTGAGAGTGCTTCACATGTGTATGTGAACGGTATTTCTGAATAATGTCCCTAACGGACCCTCATAGATATCTCTGGTAAACACAAGGATTTAAAGTGGTGTTTTTGTGTGATTCTTTGTGAAGAATATGTTGATTTAATCGATTAGTCATCAAATGTGTACGAGTGTTAGTCGACTAAGAATGTATTTTGTCAAGAACAGCCCCTAATTGTTACAAATGTAATATGCAAACTAAACCAGGTTGAGACTTAATGTGATGTGTTATACTGGTCAAATTTGAACAATAAATATGTAATTAAAATGTCAATGTGTACAATTGCTCTTTTGGTTTTATTAGATGTATTGACCTCAGGTAAAGCACTCCTGGAGTAAAGGGTAAATACAGTTAAAAAAATAAGTAAATGTAACACATATATTTATATAATTAATAGTCCAGTTTTAATTAAATGTAGTTAAAAACATCGAGTAAATTTCACACATTTGTTTTGTTAAATAATAGTCTCCTTGTCAGTTACATCTACCTAGCATTTAAGTGATATCTACTAAAAAGAAATAGTGGTTTTGGCTTAGGGTTACTATTGCATTGACTTAGGATTTTAATTATATTTACTCAATTGTATATGTTATGGTACTAAATGTAGTTATTTAGACCCACTTGATTTTTTTACTTACATTTACTCAATTCATAAGGTAAATTTAAATGATTTCACAGCTTTAAGATTGACTCAATATTTTTAAGTGTAAAAATGTTTCACCAATTAAATTGAGTACATCATCGTTTTAGTTTTTTGAGTGTACATATGGTACATATGAAATAATAATTTAGGAGTCTATTTAAGCATGGTGTAGTTTATAATCTATTAATCGAGAAGACTCAGTATCACCTGTGTGCAGCTTACGAAAAACAATTGTGAGAAACATATATTATGCAGGAAATTGATACATTTGTTGAAAAACAAAGCATATCTGATTTGGGAGGAAAAGCTTCACCCCCTTAACATCTGAGTTATTACTGAAGGCATAGCATGAATGATATTGGGTGTCTGAGGGTGTCATTACTGAGAAATGTCAAACAAAATCAAAACCTTAGATTTGAAAACAGGTTTGCATTCCTCCACTTAAGGTGACGTTATCATTGGAAACAATAAAAGCTAATTGTTTTCATGTAGAATCTATAAATTGAATCGTTAGAGCAGAACAGAATGGTTGTATTGTAGCCTGAGTTTCGTGCAGCCTTTAGTTTTACTAGGTGGAAACATTGTCTATATAATGTGAATACATGTAGAACTAGACATTAAGAGCCCCCTGACATTAGGCCTATTTTAACAATAGTAGGGGCTTTTAACAGCTCGCCAACATACAGGCATCATAGCAGTGTGAATAGCCTTAAAAAAAAATAAACCCACTCTGTGGTAACGAGAGTCATGTATCTGAACCAAATGCCCTAAGTGAAGCCGTTAGTCTCATCTGACTGACCCAAGGGTTGGTGCTGGTGTGACAGGGAGGCTTCCAAGTGTTTACGTAAAGCAAATGTCATGCTTTCAGTTCATGGCTCAGTGGGGGGCAGCAGCCATGAACCCATGTGAGACAGTATAAACGGCTATAATGTTCAGTTTGAGGAGTGTCATTCTCTCTGGGAGCAGGACATGGTGTCCATTCTCGGACCAGACCATTAATGTCATTGCAAATAGAGCAGCCATAGCATCTCTGTGACTGCACTCAGCCGGACTGTAGCAGGGCAGAACTGGGTGACTTTTAATGAAGCCTTCCAAGGCCATAGACAAAATGGAACCACGTACTAACAAAAGGGACACAAGGTCATCAATGTCTCTCTTTACCTTTGGTCTAATTGTAAATTGTAATTGTAGGCCTGTGAAAGAGAGGCCCTTGGAAAACAACATCTATTTTTCTAGTAATTACTTATTTTAAAGAGATTGCAACATTAGACTTTAAAGAATTGCTCAATTAATTTAACACATTTATTATGCACACAATAAAAAAATGATAACAAATATATTGATCCTGGCTTAACCAACGACCTTTACTCTTTTGTTCATAATTTCAGAAAACATGTCAGTAGTTTAACAACTATTTGAAGTTTAGTAATGTCTATGGAGACCAAATTGGTTGATACGAGAAATAATTTTGAAGTAGTTTAATAAAGAATGTTTAAACTATATTTAAAACTGTAATTCAGCTTCAACTTATATTAATTATCTGAATCCAGTGGCCAGTTGGAATAGATAATCAACAAAGTTTCCATTTTGCAGCAACAGCGCAAAATGTTTCTACAATAATTCGTATTATGTCGGAGTCTAGTTCTGTCTTATTAGCTTTGTTTTGGAATGTGTTCAATACATTACGTTTTTTCATTATTACAATACAATACATAGATTAAGAATAAATTAAACAAATAATACAACATTGACCTAAAAGAGCAGACAGATTTTGCAACCCTGATCTCCTCAGGCAGGTCTTTACGACCAGCAGTGATGCCTCTGAGGGTCTCAGGGTGCAGGACGGGACATAGGGTTTATAAAAGGTCACACACATATCTTAACATACCAGCAATACAATTTAAGAATGTATTCTTAAAGCAATATAATCTTCTTCTCTTCTTACACCGACAGCGCACACTCTGTGTGCTTCTTGTTTACATTTTACTCTGCACACTCAGATGCCGGACAAAAAAACACTCTTTTGCTATTTATTTTCATTTTGCAGCACATTTATACTACCATAATTTTGCTTTACATCTTAATATTATTTATTTGTCTGAAGTCATTTACTTTTGGTGAGTTCACTAAAGCTTAGTTTATTTTACCCTGGCTGTGGACTGATTCATTATTAGTTGTTACAAAACATGCACAAGACGGCGGTTAGATGAACCAATATAGACCCCCGATACAAACAATCAGACAAACAAACATGAACTCATAATAAAACACCAGCGCACCAGCAAAGCTCATCCAGCTCAATTTAGTCCAAATTAAGAGGTTTCAGAGGGGGTAGGGAATTATCTCCAGTGGTGCACCTTGACTCGCGCTTCCACCCTTGTATACAAGTCCTAGATCGGTGCCTGATGACCGTCCAAGAGCGATAACTATCTTATCCCCTTGCGACAACCACTACTCTATTCTAGTGGCGCTATGCCCCCTCGATCAGGAGCGCATAGACTTTTTATTCGCCACCCTTTCTCTCCAACTACAAAGACATAGTCACTACGGACCAGCCTATACACCTGCTATCGAGTTCATTACAACGATGAAACACAGTCTTGTTCTAAACTCGCATGCCACTGCCCACCCGTGATCAATTAGCCTATCATTTTATGTGCGCCCCGTTTCGCCAGCAAGTAGAAAACGGTTGCTAAACAACGAATGTGCTTTTAGACCATCTCCTTTTTGATAGAGACGGCGGTGTTGTGAGTAAAAGCTAGGCACAGACTGTGACTTTCTCCCTCTCAGTTCGCACTCCACCAGCAAAACAGATACGGGGGAGGTATTTACACACACACCCCGCGCTGCAGCTGGAGCTGTGTTTAAAGAGGCGATAGTGGTGATATCTCTGGCTGCTTCTTCTAACTGCTAGTGTTGGCC